TCCAGAGAGGTTGAACAACTCTTCTGGCAGCTGCGTCCTGCTGTGACGCAGCTCTGCTCTCAAGGCTCTTGTGGGTGGGATGGGATGGGTGGAACAGCCTGAACCCCCCAGTATTTGCAGTCATTGAGAAAGGAGCTGAACCCGCTGGCCAGCCCTGCTGGCACGAGGCCCTCATTGGTCCCATGGAGGGGCTGACCCAGCAGCCCCGCTCATACAAATCTGGGGTGTGCAGAGCCATCGGGCCTGAGGGTTTTAGGCAGAGCTATTGGGGCCTGTGGGGTTTGGCTGTGCACAGGGGAGCCAAGGAGCACATGGCAAATGGTAGTTCAAGAGGAGAAGGTATTTTCTCCTTGGGACCTGGCTGAAAGCATGGAAATAGAAACTGGGCTCAGAATGGTTAAGAGGAAAGAGGGTAGGAGTGGGAACAAAAACCATCAGGTGATGGTAGGTGTAAATGAGTGGGAGGGAGACTGCAGCAGGTCAGGAAGATCTTGTTAAGGGGAACTTAATGAGACTATAAAAGCTGCTGTGAAAGTCAGCAGCTCCCAGGCCTTTCCTCTGGTGAACCTCTCCTGGTGAGTAATGTTTTTAAGTGTCCTACTCTTGAGTTTGGGGAATTCACTTGTTAGATAAGGTCAAGCAAAAGACAGCGCATGGGGGTCTGATAGCAGAGCCTCTTCCAGAGGTTGCTGAAATCAGGCAGGAAGCAATGTGGAAAATTAGAGGACTGGTACTGGTAAAAAGCTTCTCTGTGAAGCAGAGCTATTGGCAGTGCTGTTAGCTCGTGGTGCAGGCCAAACCTTACCCAGGTCTCCCAGCCTTTCTGTGTAGCAGATGGGTGTGGGTTCCAGCCAGTGAGGGAATTATCTGCTCATCCAGAGTAGGTCCGGGTTGGCACAAACTGTGGCACATCTGGGGTGCTCTTTGCTGGTTGAAGTTTGCTTATTCCCTGCACCTCTGCCAGCTTCCAATTAGCTGTGTGGGGCAGGACTGGCAGCAAACCTTTCCTCCACATCCCCTAGTCTCTCTGTGCATCTGCACATGTGAAGTGCAGGATCCTTCTGCCCAGAATTCAACTTTAATTTGTAAGCTTGCTCTGCAGTGACCAGTGACAAACTCAAGCCCTTCCTGTATGTTCGCTCAATGTCTATACAGGGTACAATGCTTGTGCTCTGAAGAGGAGCTGTCACAGTGCAGCAAATGTCAAGTCACGCTAGAACCCAGTAGGTAGGACAGAGAGGAACGGGCAGTAGTTCGTGTTTGGCACTAACTAACTATTCCAGCTCCTAAAATGCCATGGATTCACTGTCCAGTTCAACCACCTTTTTGTCTAAAGGCAAAAAGCCTATCTGCAAACAGGAGGTGCTGGATGCTATTGGGCAGTTACGCAGACTTTGCAGGACAATTGCCCACCAACACAGCAAAGAGCATCTGTGACCAAAGGAAGAGGGACTGTTGCTGGTCTTTGTTTTAGGGCAGTGTATGTTCAAACCCTTGCCCTCTCATCCAGGTTGAGCTGTTTGTCTGTGCAGTGACTTGTTAAACAGCAGGTATTCAAACAAGCCTCTCATCCCTCTGTTTGAAGGCTGGTTGGAGATAACCCTGTGTTCATGCTGAAGCGGCAGCTCCGTTACTCATTGCAGACTGAGCCAGAATGAAGAGTGTGGTTAGAAACAGAGGAACAAACAGCTCAGTGAGCCTTTCAGCCAAAGCTTCATGACTCAGGAGGAGCAGGATGGCAACAACATGAGCTGGTGCCTATTTCCTGCAGACAGCCAAGCCACGGCTAGCTAGTAAGATCTAATATAAAGCAATATGAGAGTGCTCTGTACTTAGACAACATTTGTTCTCTGCTCTGGGGCTTTTTTCTAAGACACTCTGGTTCCCAGATGCAGGGAATGCTATTTTCCATGTCACACCCAAGAAATGATACTCCTCCTTCCCTTGATTTACAGCTGCTTTGAGTTCTGCCTCCCTCATGGTAATATCCAAGCCAAGAAATTAGACATGATTGTTCCCAAAGCAGTAAAGCTGAAGGCACAGGATGGAGGTGGTGGCCTTTAGGCTGTGTGTGGAGGTGCCTGTGCTGCAGATCCCCCCAGTAGGCTCTGAGGGGCTGTGTGGGATAGAGGATGTTTTCGGGATGCCTCATAGGACGGAGCATTGGGTGAGACCAAACCTCTTCACAGGGCTCCGTTAGGATCAGATCAAAGCATGCCTTTGCTGTAGCGTGTCTGATGGTGTTGCTGTCAGGTGGTTTGGTAGGTGAGCTTTAACATCCACCTTTTGCTATGAAAAACCAACCCAAATCAAACAAAAAAAAAAGCCCATCTGACTGAGCAGTTGATGGATGGAGCTCAGGAAAGTGGATGGCAGCAGCGTTTGTCTTCTCTCAGGTGATGGACACAGGTTGTTGCCACCCAACCTTGGCTGGACTAGGTGCACACCTCTGCTTGCCAGGGCAGCATCTGGCTTAAGAGCAACAAATCTCTGTGAGCCTGTATTTCACAGGCAGCAAATGTTTGGAATTCCTTAGATGAGTGCTAATTGAATCCTTGTAAAGGAAATCAACCCCGGGTGCTCATCCTGGAGCAGCCCTTTGTTAAACTCTTAGCATGTGGGTAGCATATTGTGAAATTAACACATCCCTCCCTCTTGGGAGCTGTGATTTAAACTCACATTGCTCTGGCCAGGCAAACAGAGGTGGGGAAGAAATGGATTTGCTCTAAGCAAACAAAGGCAGTAGCCTTCTAAAAAGGACCAGAAAGAGTCTTTAAGTTCCTGGTCCTGTGGTTTGCTTAAGCAATGGCAGGAATTTGGGACAGCACAAATCAAGCAGTCAGCAAATTCTGGGTGCCCTAGGGTATTGCAAAATGCTTTTGGGGAAGGCGGCTGATTGCATTATGGGTCTGTGCTTTGCCATGTGTTGTCTCTAGCTGTTCTGCCTTAAACTGCTCTGCCACGCTACCCTGTAGTGAAACCCTGTGTAAAGACTGATGCCGAGAGGGAAACCTCTGCTGTTCTGTGAAGAGGTTAACAAAAAGCTTAAAGCTCCTTCCCAGTCATCCAAAAAAGCCCCAAACCAACAACAACAAAAAAAAATCCCTATTACAGTCAATTACCCTGAACCAACAAAAGAAAAATAGACTGAATAAAATGGTTTGGTTTGGAAGGGACCTTAAAGATCATCCATCTAGTTGTGAGGTATTAGGACAGGTCTATTCTCTGACCCTTAGGTGCAATTCAGAAGAGCCTCTAGAAAAGGCAGAGGATCACTGCTGCCTCCCTGAGGGTACAGACTCATGGCCTCCCTGCTGATGTGGTTTCCTGCTCTCTCCACCTCGCAGCAGCTACAGGTTAAATTGTTCTCCTTGGCCTGATCCGAGCCTGTTGAAAACACACAAAGGAAGGAGATAAGGAATCAAGCAATAAGCAAAAGCTGTGAAATACAGGGAAACACTGCCCTGTGAATATTTAATATGGAAAATACAGCTTGTAATGAAATGGCAGGAATGTAAACGCTGCCCTTTTGCAGGCACATTGCGTGAGCAGTCCTGGCAACCATGGTTTCTTCCTCCATGGTAAAGGCAGCACAGACAGAAGCATCTGCTGGGTGCTCAAATCATAGAGAATCATAGAATGGTTTGGGTTGGAAAGGACCTTAAGATCATCCAGTTCCAACCCCCTGCCATGGGCAGGGACACCTCACACTAAACCATGGCACCCAAGGCTCTGTCCAACCTGGCCTTGAACACCACCAGGGATGGAGCATTCACAACCTCCCTGGGCAACCCATTCCAGTGCCTCACCACCCTCACAGTAAAGAATTTCTTCCTTATATCCACTCTAAACTTCCCCTCTTTCAGTTTTAACCCGTTAGCCCTTGCCCTGTCACTACAGTCCCTAATGAGGAGTCCCTCTCCAGCATCCCTATAGGCCCCTTTCAGATACTGAGGTCTCCACACAGCCTTCTCTTCTCCAGGCTGAACAGCCCCAACTTTCTCAGCCTGTCTCCATACAGGAGGTGCTCCAGTCCCTGATCATCCTCGTGGCCTCCTCTGGACTTGTTCCAACAGTTCCATGTCCTTTTTATGTTGAGGACACCAGAACTGCACACAATGCTCCAGGTGAGGTCTCACGAGAGCAGAGCAGAGGGGCAGGATCACTTCCTTGCACCTGCTGGTCACGCTCCTTTTGATGCAGCCCAGGATACAGTTGGCTTTCTGGGCTGCGAGCGCACACTGAAGCCGGCTCATGTTCATTTTCTCATCACCCAACACCCCCAAGTCCTCCTCCTTGGGCTGCTCTGAATCTCTTCTCTGCCCAACCTGCAGCTGTGCCTGGGATTGCTCCAACCCAGGTGCAGGACCTTGCACTTGGCATGGTTAAGCTCCGTAAGGCTGGCATCAGCCCACCTCACAAGCGTGTCGAGGTCCCTCTGCTATAGAGGAATTAGGGCTGGAAAGGACCTTAAGGTTATCTTGTTCCAGCCCTGCTCAAAGCCTTGCTCCAATGTGCCCTCCAGCCTAGCAATGATGATGTTGAATTCTTACTTGTGATAGGAGTACCCGATTATGGAACGATTTGTACCTTCATGCTAAAATTCCGATCCATAAAATGCTCTTCTATGGCCATACGGAAAAGTGGGATTTCGAACAGCTTCCAGCTACCCAGTTAGAAAACGTGGTGCCTTGGGGGTTTATTTCAGCACTGGGATTTGGGTGGAAAAGCTTTATCCTCCTGTGTGTGATGACTTGAACTTCATCATGGGTGCTGCCTTGTGATAAGGCTGTGCTTTTAAAAGGGGTGGCTAAACTCAGTGCCTTGCTGCTTGATGATGTCGACTGCATCTTCACCCAGTGTAACCCGAGTGTGTGGCAAGGATGGCCGCGTTTCCAACGGGACAAAACACGGATGTTCTTTACAGTACCGATCGTTTCTTGCCTTAATTTACTTTGCAGAACACCTTCCCCCCCCTGCAAACACTGCTGGACCTGATGGCAAAGCCCGGTGCCTGCAGGGATGCCGAGGACCCGCCGCTGTGGTGCTGGTGCCGAGCAGCCGATGACCGACCATCCCTGACACGAGATACAGGCATGGGACCTCCAAAACCTCATGGACATCGCTGGTTTATGCTGTATGGACTCAGCACGTTACCCACCCATGGCGCTCGCCCTTTATTCGGAAGAAACGCTGAAATACGCCATTAGTAACGAGGTCCCCCCGGTTATCTCCATCGCGGGGGCAAAGGGGGAAGATGGCGGCGGCTGCTGCTCCCCTCAGCGGCGGCGGGAAGCAGGGCGGGGGGGGGCAGCGAGGAGGGCGTCGGCTGGTACCCGCCCCTCGCGCGCCCTCCGCCCTCCCTCACGCGGCGCCGCCATTTTGCAAGCGGACAACTGGAGGCGCTGGGCTCCGCCGTTGCCTCTGCCTGTGTCCCCCCCCCCCTTTCCCCTCCCCTCCGGCCGGGGCTGCCTTCTCTCCCGGGGCCGGGGGGCCGGAGCCGGCAGGTAAGGCCTTCAGCAAGGGGGCACACCCGCCCGCCCGCTCAGCCCACTTCAGCCGGCTGTGTGAGCGGCAGGACGTCCTCCTTCCTTAGCGCTCTGTCTCCCCCATCCCTCAACGGCAGGGTTGAGCCGTCTGAGGAACGGCGGCTTCGTCGCCCTCCCCTCCGGGGCTGTATGGGCAGGGAGGAACCTGCCCCGGGCTGCGGGGTGCTGCCTGCAGGTGAAAGGAGCGGTGTGCCCAGGCCTCTCCCATGAGGAGGGGAGGGATCTTCAGGTACCCCGGGGTCTGTGTAACTGTTCTGGAGCTGAAGGACTTGTAGGGAGGTGTGGGGTGGAGGGGTCAACCCTCTGTGTTTAGCCCAGGGAGGCAGGTTAGTGTGGAAGGTCCTTCTGGGATCTCTCTGTGGGGAGATGGGTGAGAGGGTTCTGTTCTTCCAGGCCGTGGGCATCAATTCCTTAGTACCATGGTTATTCCTGCCTCTGTTGCTTTCTGTGTGGGCATCCTCAGTGTAAACCCGGTGATGTGTACCCAGTAATTGTTATCATCACGGTCTGTCTGTGTTAACTCTGTGCAGCCCAAAGGGAAGGGCAGGAGTCTGTGGGCTTCAGCCTACTCTGTGATGTATGTGTGCTCCTGCACCTGATGGAGGCTTGAAAGCTTTGTCCACCTCAAGCTGAGAGCCCTGGTCCCATGTACCCTTGTGGAGTCATGTTCTTACACACCTAATAAAGTTCTGTGAGCTTCCTTTTGTCCCAACATCTGTTTCAGGGTTGATCCATCAATATTAACTCTATAAATGCAGCTTCCCTCCCTCCATGTGCACTATTGCCCACTTGTTGCTGCTGAAATACATCTACAAGGCAGCCCTTGGCCTATGGTTATGTGAAGAGCTCTGTTCAGTGTTGCTTGTGAGTATGTCAGTATCTTGCTGTGATGTAAAATGCATCCTGAACGATAACCAAGAGCCAACAGCTCTTGTCTTTCAGCTCTTTCACTCCTAACTCCTCTTAAGAGAGAGTAAAGAAGGTAACACAATTGGAAGGAAGCTGTGCCTTCAAAACACACTGTGATTATTGTTAGTAACATTGGCAGTTGTCTCTACATTGTTCCCATCTAATTGCACAAGCAGGATGCGTTCAGGTGTCCTTCTGGGGCCTAGTACATGCTCACTTTGGGTGTTTAACACCCTTATGACTGATGGATAATGGCCATTAGTTACCATCTGGGCGTTACAGGGAGTAAGTGAGCAACAGAACAAAGCAAGAAACACTAGCTAAGCAATAGGTTTCTGCTTACACTGATGTTTACCTAGTTTGGGAGGGGTATAGTTAGGTTTAGACTGTATGTCTCTGACCATACTGCTTTCTAGGATTATTATTTTCCAGTATTCTTGTCTAAAAGCAAAGGCTGAAAGGGGCAGGGCCTTTCTTTAGGGCCCATCAGGTTCTAGTAGAGTTGAAACATCCAGGTATTCAAATTCTGTTGCCAGAGTTGTTCCTGTTTATGCTCGTGCTCTGCACATGTTGGAGGTTTTGATGACAGGCAGGTTTCATTCACAGCAGTGGAGCATAGCACAGCCTGCATGAAGAGAGTCGGGAAGTCCCTGACTTGGGCTCTTAGTACAGTTTCTGTGATGAGGTCAAAGTGAGTAAGGGTGAAAAGCTGGGCTAAATGAGGTTACGGAGCAAGCCAGCTGTTCCTATGAGTCTGGAAGCTTACTTTGCTTTTAGATGCTGTTTTTGAGTACTTAATAGTACTGGTTACGGTTGATACACCATCAGGTTGTTGTAACATAGCGTTTCTCAGCAGGGAGGTGTTTTGTCAGCAAAAAAGTTCCTGATTTATCCTAAGTTCTGTTTATTTTGCTTTGAACTGTGCCACTTGTATTTGATATTTTCAGTCCCCTTCATAATGCTGAAATGGCTGCTGAAGGGTTGGACTATTTATACAGCAGACATGCAGTGTGGTAGCCTTTTGTGTGTAGCAGTTTTGAGTTGAATGCTACTTTGCTCTGGTAATGTGATTGCTGGTAATGTGATTGCTTCTTTTTTCTTTATATGAATAGAATGTTACAGTAGAATTAGTAATGGAAATGTGATGTTATAAAGAAGAGTAAAACGTGTGAAGATGGAATCCCATCAAAGCCTTGGCAGGAGTAGTGCTTTGTACCCTTGTTTGCAAAAAACCCATAAAGATTGTATAGATTTCCTCTTGATATTTTTCTCCTGTTTCCACAGGAGAGATATTAGTACCAAAGAATGACAAGAACTGCTTCACCAAGTGGCTGCATTGTGCAAGAGGTCATTATTTACAGCTACCAGCTATATTGAACTCTTCCTTACATTTCATCCTTCTTTGTAAGTTTGTAATTTGTTGCAAAGTGATGGAAAGATACACAGCTGTGGAAATAGACTCTTCTGGCCAGAGCCAGGATCCATGGGCTGTTTAGCTCAATTCTACCTCTTTGTGATCTTGCAAAAGTCAGTAAATGTTGCTCAGTTCAGGAAAATGAACTGGACAAGCTGGTGGAAAAGAGAATCTGTGTTGCTGATGATAGCCTGAGGAAAACATTTAAGTTAGAAAGTTGTCTTGGGGGATGTTTGGAGACCCTAGGGGAAGCATTCTGCTGGAGGGTGTAGAGCTTGGGGGCAGGAGAAGGAAAGCAGGATGGCCTGAAGGCCCCTTTGTGCCCTGTGTTGGGTGTGCTGAGCTAGGTCAGGAATGTTCTGATGGATACATTTGTGGTACTACTATTGATAACAAATATTGAGGATGATGGAAAATAACAGGCTTGTGGGAAACTCTTCGCTTTCTAAACAGGGAAAATCTGGTTTTTGTTTTTAATATTGTGGCTTTAACAGACCTTTGATCTCTTGCAGTCTTCTAGAAGCGGAAAAACAACTTAGGTTTGATGTTTTGTGTGCCATCAACTGAAATTGGGGCCATCATGAATGTAACCAAGGGTGGACTGGTGCTGTTTTCAGCTAATTCTAATTCGTCATGCATGGAACTGTCCAAGAGGATTGCTGAGTAAGTAGAACCTCCTGCAGGGCCACTCAGGGTCTTGGTGTTACTGGGTTGGGGCTTATTTTACTTCAGACAGATTTCTTATTTTAAGGGAAGCTATATGGGAAACCCACCATTGTTTGCAAGGACATGGAGTGTGCTGTATTGCACAGTGTATTTCAACAGATCAATAACAAAGAAAATAACTTGTGTTTAAATTGTTAGGTGGCAGGTTGTGATTTGCTGCAGTATGTTATAGAGAACACGTGGAAAAATGAATGCTTGATGACACTAAATCACGGTACACGCTTTTATCCTGTCCTTCTTGTAGCAGGATGTTTCTTAGCAAAGCTCCATCTATCCTGCTCACTGTATTTTAGATGGAAATGTTAATTTAGCTTTAAATGCAGAAATACTTTCAGGAGAACTTTCATGACTTAAGAACGTTTTTACCATGCTACTGTGGAGGTATTGGGTTTCACAACATGACCAGGTGTACTGCAGGGGATCGGCTTCTTCCTGAGCCTTATGGACCTGAGGTTAGGTACAGACAGGAGGAGAACGGAGAGTGCAAGGGATCTTGAGTTACATGTGGCAAGGACTTGGGTATAAGTGCACAGCACACTCTGGTCTCTCATTTCTTTAGTGATGAGGGTCTGTGCTAATACTGAAGTGGAATAAATACAGCAGACATTAGTCTCCTGTTCCTCACAGAATGATGCTCGCCAGTATTTCCTACTCACTCTCCACTGACATTCTTTCTATAGAGAGGAACGCTTTAGAAGAGGTCTTTTAAGCTTTGCACATGTAACGCTGCTGTGTATATATATGTACATATTTGTCAACATCTGTGGAATGTATATAGAGATACATGTTAGAAATTGTTGCATGATTTAGTAATCAAGTGTTATTCTGCGTGTTCTTCCCAGCCTGACTTGAAATGAGTTTAGCTGAGCCTGGGGTGCAGATTCTGGAAACTAGATGCTTTGTTAAGAGGTTTCCACTATAATTACTGGGTTTATGCTTTGGGTTTTCTGGCTTTGCTTTTCTCCTGTGAAATACAGCCTTTTCAGTGACTGTCACATTGTATAGGCTTTGTTTTGCCCTTCATTTTCCTTTGACATCTCCTTTTCTTTCTTCTGCTCCTGCAGGCGCTTAGGAGTTGAGATGGGGAAGGTTCAGGTTTATCAAGAGCCAAACAGAGGTGAGCATTTAATTGGCAAAACTAGAAACCTGCCTATCTATGATGTGCGTGTATTGGTTACCTGTTCCTTACACTCTTGTTGGGTTTTGCTGTTGAAAATATGACATGTTTCTGTTCTTGGCAGAAACAAGAGTGCAGATCCAGGAGTCTGTGAGAGGAAAGGATGTATTCATCATCCAGACAGTTTCAAAGTGAGTAACTGTTTAAGGACATTGTGCTGACATTTTGACTGTCCATAGGAATGCTTCTATTTTAATTTTTCTTCTCATGTATGAAATACAGTATAATAAGCTTAGGTTAACTACATAGAGGCTTCTCTTTTTAGTTTTGTTGCTGTTGTTTTGATTTTTGATATGTGCACAAAGGAGACTTCAGGGACCCTTCATCGGGGTAGGGGTAGGGCAAGGGTAAGGCGTTCAAACTGAAACAGGGGAAGTTCAGGTTAGATACAATGAAGAAGTTCTTTACTGTGAGTGTGGTGAGGTGCTGGCACAGGTTGCCCAGAGAAGTGGTGAGTGCTCCATCCCTGGCAGTGTTCAAGGCCAGGTTGAACAGAGCCTTGGGTGACATGGTCTAATGTGAGGCCTCCCTGCCCATGGCAAGGGGTTGGAACTGGATGATCTTAAGGTCCTTTCCAACCCAAACCATTCTATGATAAGATGCTATTTTAATTTTCAGTTAAATATGAGTTCACTGAATATGAGACTATTCATTGAATATGTCAATGAAACTTTCCCCTGGGACTCTGCGTTCTTTTGCCAAGCACATTCTTTTGCTTATGTTATTCTTTTAAAATTATTCCCTTCCCAGTTACCTGTCTCTAGCACCATTATAAAGGTCTGAATTTGGAGGAGCGTTTCCTAGGCAGTGTCCTGTGATTCAGAAAAGAACTTTACAAATGGTGAGATTTGTTTTAATGGCAACAGAAACAGGAGGTCTCTTAGTTGATGACCAGTTCTCATCTAAAAAGATAAACCTATCATCTAGGGCAAAAAATAGATGGGAATTAAATATTTTGCCTGCTAAATATTGAACAATAGAGGAACCTGTTGTAAAGTCTGAAACTTAAAAAAAAAGCTTATCTGTATTAAAAAATACATTTATATTATTTTGTGCATGAAAGAAGGAGATGTTGGAGATGAATTATGGGCTGCTTTGTTACAGCAGCATGGTATAACAAAAAGTGCTGAATTACTCCCACCTAATTCAGCTCAAAATAGCTAAGTGGAAAAAAAAAATGGTGAGGTCTAATTCTAGTGAAGGTTTCAAATGCTGTGTCCAGGGCACTGTCCATCCTGGGGAGCACGGCTGGTTTCTTAGTGCAGATCACTCAGTCACAGTACTCTTTACTGCCCTGGAGCAGGTATAAATACTGTGTTAAATAGAGGATTCTTATGCACAAAATACAGAACTGGATGCTTCTTGTTCCAGGGATGTGAATACTACGATCATGGAACTCCTAATCATGGTGTATGCTTGTAAAACCTCCTGTGCCAAAAGCATTATTGGAGTGATTCCTTACTTCCCGTACAGCAAACAGTGCAAGATGAGGAAAAGGGGCTCCATTGTCTCTAAGTTACTGGCCTCCATGATGTGCAAAGCTGGTAAGAGTGCAGCTCTTCTGAAATAATCAGGGCAATGGGGGCTCTTGCTGTCAGTTTTCAGGTTTAGAGGTGTCTGTGTACAAGTTGGGCTGCTAAGGTTTTTTTTAATGTGTTAAAACCCACGTAGGAAGGAGAATGTCGTTAGAAATGTTTCTGAATGAGTTCATGGAGAAAACCCAAACTTGTAACAGCCCTTTTACGTTGTGTCCTCCTGAGCTGGCAGGGTGAGGCAACTGGACTCTGCTGCTCTGGGCAGTGGTGTCTCTCTCAGAATACTGCTCTTTGCCTTTCTGACAGCAGTTGTGCCTTGTCATTGCTCACCTGTTTTTTACCTGTTGGATGAATGCGCTTTGTCCTTTACATTTGACATACGGTGGGAGTTTTGAGTTTTCATTTTCACAGCCTTCAGCACACCTGCTCCTTTCCTTTTGCTCCTATCCCTGGGAAAAATCAGCAGTTCCAGTGAACACAGTGTGGTCTGGTTTCTTATTTTTAGAGAAGTGTTTTGATCATTAGGATTTGGGCTCATTTTTCAAGAGTTCAGAACTTGAGTATTAGTTGTGGGTCTTGTTGTGTGGCACAGGACAATTATCTCCTTAGTGCTCTCATTTTGTCACATGTAGAATGGAGAAGGATCTTCCCTGCCGCAGTGTGGCACTGCTGAGTCAATTATGAAGCGTTCTGAGGTCCTTTTGGAAAGGACACTAGCAGTCTGGGAAGTTACTGAAGAGGAATGGAATTAATGTGCTCTGTGCTTTCACAGAGGTAGTATTCTTGTGCTAATACATCTTAGCGGTTTTGGTTTGGCCACACTTCAGTGAAACTTAGTAGTGAAATAAGAGCGTGGTCATTCTCTCTTACTTTTCTTGATGTGTTTCTCCATATGTTGTTTTACTTATGTATCTTTTTTAAAGGACTAACTCACCTTATTACCATGGATCTACACCAGAAGGAAATACAGGGCTTCTTCAATATTCCAGTTGATAATCTGAGAGCATCTCCATTTTTACTGCAGTACATCCAGGAAGAGGTGAGGAAGCCCTGCTGTTACACTTGTTTTTTTTGAATGATGTTTTGTTATGTCTCAAGGCTTCTGAAACAAATTCCTCTGAAGGAACTTAACTCCTCAAATAGCGTTTTAAAGGGGGAAGGGAGTGGTGTTGGGCAGTTAGTACTTTTCTTCCCGACAGGCTTTACTTTTGCTTTCATGAATAGCTGGTGTTTTATCCATGCAGTGATGCTGTTCTGTCTTCTTAGATATGTTCCTCTAACTAGTATTGAAAAGAAATGAGGATTTTCTTGCTCTTGATATCCTCTTCTTTTCCTGTTTGCAGTTTTGACATCTATAGGATGGACTGCTTGTGTAGGTGTAATTTATATCGTGTTATGAAAACACTTTGGAAGTGAAGTTGTAAACTGAGAGAGCCTATCGATCCTCCTCTCAAAGCAGGAACAGATGACTTCTTGTGTGGAAATCCTCACCTGCTGTTTGTTCAGCATGTCTTGACTTGAGCTTAACTTCAAATGTTCTGTGCATCCATTTTCCCATCTTATTTTTATAAGTGCTTTGAGAAGTGCTACTGGTAGATTCATATCTATAAAAATTGTGCAAATGATAATTGTAGGTGTGCAAATGATAATTGTAGGTGTGAGATGGGGATAATGCCTCTGACTAATGATAATGGGGAATGAAGAACATGGTTTTTTCCTAGTGAGAGAAAAGGTTTTGCTCACTCTTACTTCTGAGTCAAGTTTATTTTCATAGAGCTATAAATGCCTCAATTTAAAGGAAACAAACAAAACAACAAAGCAACATGATTTTGTTATGACAAATATAACATGAGTTATGTATGTTTGGGGAATTAGTTGCCATTTGGTAATCTGTCATTATCATTTTGTTTAGTAATAGAGTCCAAGAGGATTATAGAGCTAGAACTAGATGACAAAGCTCCAAGCTCTGCCTTTGCCACATTCATTCACCGTATATACCAGGAGGGAAGTACTGAATGTTGGAAGCACTTTGTAAGTTAAAAAAAAAGGAAAAAGCATGGAAAACCAAGTGTGCAGAAACAAGACAAGTTCTGCCTTTATATTGAATGTATGGGAGTTACGGTCCCTGACAAGAGCATTGTCCTGGTTTAGCCTTGAAGCACATTTTGGTACATGAACTCTTAATGCTTTCCAAAGAATTGTTACAGCTTTGAGTCTGGCACTGCTATGCAGTCTGTGAAGAAATGAACACTTGTAGAGATCTGCTGGAGTATGTGTAGAGAGGTCTTGAAAGACACTTGAAGTTTCTAATTTCTTCATTCCCCTGCACGTCCATGAGAGCACTTGCTCAATCTCGAGCTGACTGAATGTAGCTGATCAGGTGGGATTTGTATGGTTAAGAGTCTTCACAAGCCACGTCACACATAATGTCTTTCCTTAGATGTTTCATCCAGTGCTGCTCAGGAGGAGTTCAGGATTCAGCTCAGATTCACAGTGGCAGCAGCTTGCTGCATAATCTGACATTGTGAGTGCCAAAGCATGAAGAATGTTTCAAATGGGAGTTGGCATGGGATATATTGAGCAGTACGAAACAGTCCAGCTTGATAAGAATACAGGTCACTTAAAAAGCATTTAACTGAGAGTTAAGAGGATGAGGGCTTGTAATTGTTCCCTGTGGGGAATTTATGGCTAGGTGTGAAGAGAATTACTTAGTGTTCTGGTGTGAAGACCATCCAATGGTACAAAAATGATACAGTTATTTTCCTTTGTGTGCTTACCAAGTGCTTGACGCTTGGTGTCTTCTCTCTTTGCTATGGGTACATGTTAATCTCAGAGTGACGTAGCTCTTTGTTACAAGGAGTTGTTGATGTCTTTACTATCTTTTGAATGACATTTCTGGTTTTCTGACTTCATCTTTAAAGAGCTGAGAACAAATTTGATAATTTGGCAGGGGAAAAATGAGGCAATGATGTCTGAACAAGATCAAAGCCTTTATTATGTCAAGTGACAGGCCCTGCCTTGTCCGTAACCTTCCATCACGTTAATCTTTGTAGCCTCTTGTATAACTAAGTGTCTGTAAAGGAGAGAACATGCTGAATTCCCAGTATTATAGGTGGAGTTAGTAGCACTGTGGATTATTAATGTTTCCTGACACGTCCTTAGAAAAGCTCTTGTTTTCAGTTGCTTAGATCCATGCTCAGATTCAGAACTTCATTTTTTCTTTCCCGTGCCTGTTTCAGGTAGAGAGCTTTTGGAAGCACACAGTCAATGTGGTTTGTTGAGGATTAGATTGTGGAAGGATTTACTTTGCTTGTGTTTGAAAAATAACCCCAAATCAACAGGTATTTCTGTGCTCTGGAACTGGTACTTGAGATCTAACTGTAAGGCAACGAACTGCATGTCAGGGTATCATTCCCCAGATTTGTGCAATTACAGCTGTAACAGATCAGTTTGTAGGTATTTAGTAAACAGTCTTCTGTCCCTCAATGCTGGGATCGTGAGGAGGGGATCTGCTCTGTAGGACTTTGCTGTTGCAGCTGAGAGTGGCTGTGGACTGCTGCTGATAGAAGGTTAGACAGGTTCTCTGTGGGAGATGGATTGTCCCAGAGAACAGTGAAGGAAAATGCTGAGTTTGCAAGGAAGAGAGGGTAAGGTGAGCTGTAAAAGGGAGCATATATTGCTGTTGGAAAGGAGGGCTGGAAGCACAAGTATTGGAATGCTCGTAAGTTATGGATGAGGAAAGACAAGTCTCACGTGGAGTCATTGCTTGCAGGGAAAACAGAGAGGGGATAAGAAACTTTTGAGACATGGGGACTAAAATACTGCCGAAATATAGAGGGGGAATCAGGAGTGAGAAGCCAGTATGGGAATGCTGAGGCAGGGGAGGGGCAGCAAACTTTGGAGTAGATCTTGGTAACGAAGGCTGACTGAATAACCAACCCATGAGGCCTCAAAGTGAAACCCAGACTTGATCTTACCCCTTTGCTGCTGTCAGCATTCACAGCAGCATCCTCTAGTGCTGATCTGCATAGAAGATGGTTTACAGCAATATTAGGCTGTGACACCAGAATGAGTGCAGTGAATGTGGAACTTTTACCCCTTTTGATGCTCCGTATAAAAGAGTTTGATGTGATGGAGTGATGGAGAGGTGTTGCTTTTTGGTGTGCTCTGAAAACCAGTAGGAAACAGATGAAACACTGTATTCTCAAGTGGTTAAACTGCCATGTGCACTCACAAGACAAGTTGAACAGGAAACTTTAATTTTGATGGTTTCCTGTTTCTTTTAACATTTGTCCATGTAGCCCTGATGTTCTAAAGCAGATAATTTTATGTCATCCATAATATGTTTATGAAAGCTACAGTTTTTAATACCTGAATTTTCTAAATACCTGTTTTTGCTGAGCTCTGAACTCTCATCATGTACCATGGATTCTTGAGGTTGCTTTCGATGCTTAAAATTCTTCTGGCAAAATAAAGTTCTCTTGATTCTTACTGAGTTTAAATTTGTCTAAAGATATGAAGTAGACATTGCTATCTGTTATTTACTACAGATACCAGACTACAGGAATGCTGTAATTGTGGCCAAATCACCTGCGTCTGCAAAGAGGTGGGTAAGATCTGCTCTCTTGTGTTAGAGCAGGAAATCTCGATCGTGATTTTGTGCTTAGGATCTAGTGAAGGACAGAGATCCCATAATTAGAAGATGCTGCCTTCAAATCCCTCCTAATTCTCCTTTGTAAGATGAGCAGTTTTTACATCATCACTGTAATTATAATAAATCTAAGGAGAGTAAAAAAGCCAAACAAAAGGATGAGGTGAATGAATGCAGTGCTTAGGCTAATGAAAGTTTTTAATCAGATTTGTGTGCATTTGCATCATAAATTTCCTGCTCTGAATGAAAAATGGCTGGAAGTGTAACACCATTAATCCAAAGTAATTGCTAAACATGGTCATAACCTAGAACATGGTTGATCAGATCCTAAATACATATGGCTTTTACCCAGCGTGGTGGAACAGAATTTGATGGTTGAGATGATTTTGATTGTGAAGTCCTTGTTGGCTGTTCTTAATCCATGAAGCTCTTTAGTTGACTGAGCTCTGTGGAATGACACCACTCTCAGCAGGTGGTGGGAGAGTTGGATGGTGGTTTCTGAGATACTTTATTTGCTGTGGTAAGAACCCCGGAATTTCTTGAAAAGTTATTTAGATGGGTCATGATACTCTTTGTAAGAAAGGTTTCTTTTATTTTATATAGCAAATCAGGCATACTTTTATTTGTGGCAGTATAGTGAAGGGAACAACTTTGGTCACATTTGTTTTCCAGCAGTACTTCTTATATGATTTCTTTTGTTTTGGCCAGTTACTTTACATTTACTTGTCTTTGTTTCTTTTACTTGGTGCCAGTATTGCCTCTTGTTGGAGCATTTCATGCTTGTCAAGTAACTGTGCATGCCAGCAAATAGTCTGTATGTGCCTTTAGCTGATCAGACAGATAAGTTGCACACATAACCTGTTTGGGTAGGAGGGGATCTCAGAGCTGTAGTGTTTAGTTTCTTCATGTGAAACAGTCCACATGTGAGCATTTAAGAGCAGTGTTTGAGGAGGTACATAATGTTTGGAAAAGGCTGATGGAATGTTTCAGCCTAATCAAGGAAAACACTTGTCAGATGAATGCCAACTGTGTAAGAGAACCTCTCCTTGATGAAGTCAGAATGTTTCTGTGGTTTCTGAGCTCACTGGAAAATGAATAAATCATTTTACTGTTACTTTGAACTTCATTCAATTAAATACTGCATTTTAAAGTAGTTATTATGGTTTTGTTGATAGGATTAAGCCTTCGAAGACTTAACCCAAAATGTTTGGGGTTATCTGGAATTAACTGCTTGCAAAAACAATCCTGTGTGCTGACCACAGGGCAGAAGATTCTTTAGTTTGAAGTCACTGAGTAGTCACGATGGGCACATTATTCTCTGGACTTTGAGTTGTTTGGGTAGTGAAACAGGGCTTCAGTGTGAAGAAGCTGATTCAGGCTATTAGATGCTAATGGGAGAACAAAGTGGCTCACCCTGAATGTATCAGGCCCACTTTGCCCAGAAGTCTGGATGACTGGCTTAGGCTAGATATGGACTTCTGGGATGTGTAAGGTAGGATGAATCTGTTACTTTTGACTTGCTGCTTCCAGGTTCTGGGATACAGTGTCTGTGAAATTCCTGTTTTCCTGTCTCTGCTGTCCCCACTCCCCCAGCTGACCTCACAGTCCTTTACATAAATTCCTAATTTAGTTAAAGAAACTGCACAGTGAAGGAGCTTTATGTAAATCAGTAAAAATCCAGGCTGTGACTTTGAAGTGTGGTTTGTCATACAAAATGATTGTCTGGATTCCCTTTTCTGTAGGATGTCTGAGGTTGTGTCAGGGATATTGCCTTTATTTAGTGCACATCTTGCTAAAAATAAATTGGTGAACACTTGTTTTCTGTTTTCATGTAAATATATATATTTTCCTATTAAATATAGCCAGTGTGGTATCCAGGTTGGTTTTGGTTACTGTTAGCTGCAAGCTGCTAAAGCATGGGATCTCAGGAATGCTAAAGGCTAAGAAATAGTTTTCTGACTGTTGGGCAAAACAGAAGGGAAGAATCAGAATGATGTGACTTGTAGCATTGATCCTGTTGCTTAAAATCCACTGTGTGGCTACTTCAAGGTTGTTCTGACTTTCACAGCATGATGAAACCAAGATTCTAAAGGACCAGTGGTTTCTTCTATCCATTTTCCTAAACTTTTAGGATCATTCAGTTTTTCCTCTGAAACATTAGGAATAAAATGGGAATAGATTAGGATTGTACAAATATGAATTACTGTAGATGTAATGAATTTCTGTTGTTTTTAACCCTTTCCCTACAGGGCCCAGTCCTTTGCTGAGCGCTTACGGTTGGGAATTGCAGTGATTCACGGGGAGGCTCAGGATGCAGAGTCTGACATGGTGGATGGTCGCCACTCGCCACCTACAGCCAAAAATGTAGCTGCTATTCATCCCAGTCTGGAGATACCCAGTAAGTAAGTTTGTATGTGAAGGTGTTGTTTTCTGTGGGTTTGGGAATGGGGCTGGCAGTGATGGGACGTTTTTAGGGGCAAAAAAGAGAGGTTTTTTCCATACTAATAGGAGAAAAAGATTCCTTTTTGATGATTTTTACATAGTTTTAGTGCTAGGCTGTGTGAGAGGTCTGTGTAGATGGGGCTGTGGCATTACAGGCAGTCAGAACCCATCGCAGAGAGGCCTCACTTTTTTTGCCATTTACTTTCCCATAGGAATTTTTCTGGGATACAGAACTAATAAGCTGAGTTGGCTCTGGTTTTGTGTGTAGCTGTATAATGTCACAGCCCTTCACAATGACCTTGCTGAATGTGGATGTGACCTATAGCTGCACAAGCCCAGCTTCATTGCATAAACACAGCTTGGACTTCAGTAGGGTGGTTGAACTGGTTGTTTGCAAACCACTCTATTCTCTGGACTAAAATGAAGAATTAATTGACTTTGTTAAGAATTTGGGTGTAAATGAATGTAGTTATTTTCTTAAGCTTAGCCAAAGTATTATTTTGTATTAAAATCCTGCTGGTTTTCCCCAGTAACTCTGTGATGGTTGAAATAGTTGTTGCTTCATTTCTCTCTATAACAGTGGTGACCTATGCAAAGCAGACACTTGAAGTAAACTGTATAAACTTTGTCTCTCTTTCTCCTTTCTACCCCTCTAAAAAAACTTGCTGTTGATCAGTGCTGATTCCTAAGGAAAAACCACCCATCACAGTTGTTGGAGATGTAGGAGGAAGAATAGCTATCATCGTGGTAAGTAAGATGCCATCACTTCTGCTAAATTACATTAAACATGTGCAAGTTGCAGAAATCAAGTAGATACTCTGCTGTGTCAGCAGCTAAAGTTAGGTGGATGGTGGACTGTTGGTACTGCACTGTTTATCAAGTGAGGTTCTGCACTGTGGCTGAACTTGGCCATGTGAGCTATGAAGAGATCCATGTCGGAAAGCAGCATTTGGACCTTGTTTCTGTGAAGAGGCAGCTAAAATTCTGTTCAAGTGCTTGCCTGAAGGTGGGGAGCTCAACACAGCTGGTTAGGGGAGAATCACCGCTTCTATCCTGTGAGTTTAGAAATGCTGGTGATGATGCAGCCTGCCTTACGGTTTCTCTAAAGCAGAGTGTGGTCTCTGCACTACTTCTGTTAGTTTGGTTTTTGACTGAATGTCAGTTGTTTTGGCTTTTCCCTCTTTCCCTCATGGAGCAATCTGTCTGTCCCTTGATGCTACAGTACCTTTGGATGCTCTCCTTTTTTGCTCTTTCACTCTTACTATCCAGCTCAGGTGTCTGAATAACTGCATCAATAAAAATGTCCATTTTGCATTGGCTTGTTGAAGGTGTAATGTTTTGGGTGTGTTGCTGGTGGATCTTCATTGACTTGATCTCCTCTTGCCAGGATGACATCATAGATGACGTTGACAGCTTCCTGGCTGCAGCTGAGACCCTCAAGGAGCGGGGGGCTTACAAGATCTTTGTAATGGCTACGCATGGCCTCTTATCTTCAGATGCTCCCAGGCTCATAGAGGAATCTGCAATCGATGAGGTAAGCGTGGATCATGGATTCTGAACTTCTCATCAGATGGGTTGGGGTTTTATAAGCAAAGAGCTTTCTCCTGACTTGACTGTTAAAATACACTGGTGTGAAGATTTTAGCTGGAAGGTTCCTGGATTTGGGCTTTGTGACTGTGGAATTGTATGCTAGAATATTAGCATCTACACATCCTGAAAGTATAGTGACAGGAAGGTAGGGAAGTTGTGAGATGAGGGACTACCTGTGCTGGTAGTCTTTGTCCCCTTCAGTCTGGGGGAGATTTTCCTTCCTTTCTTTGGACCTGCATGGCAGAGTGAATGAAGAGAAGGAAGGACAGTGCCATTAGTATCCATGGATATGTGCAACCCTGTGGCAATGCATGGCTCTTCCTAATGTTTTAACCCTGACAGTAATGTAAAGGGTGGCTTCACAGGATCTGGTGGGTGGATGTTTCCTTCCACAGCTTTAATACAGGAGGTGGAAAAGAGCTACATCCTTCTGATTGTTTTCTTTCTGTAGGTGGTTGTTACAAACACAATCCCACATGAAATACAGAAACTCCAGTGCCCTAAAATCAAGACTGTGGATATCAGCATGATCCTCTCGGAAGCCATTCGCAGGATCCATAACGGGGAGTCCATGTCTTACCTCTTCAGAAATATAGGACTGGATGATTAATGCATCTTCCTCTAAAGAAGTAGAATAAACCCCAAACTGGGCCAAACTGGAAGCAGATACCGAGCTGTGAAGTGTCATACTTACCTTAATATTTCTATTGAGCCACTTCTTGTTTTCTCTTGGTTTTAAGTATCAAGGTAGAACAGTTTTTAAGAACATTTTTCTTTGGAGGGTTTTGTTTTTTGGGGAGGGTAGGGAGGTGGGAGGGGAAGAAACATTTTCAGAGAACCTGTTAGTTGCTTTTAGGTTAGTTGCACTACATACATGATGGAAAACAACCCCCAAAAACACTTGAGGTAAGAATTTGGCTTCTAAATTAAGCATTCCTCTCCCAAAGCTGCTTGCTACAAGTGCTTTAAAAGATAATAAAATGAAGTGACTGTATAATACTTGCGTTTTAAAAGCCAAAAAGGTTGTACTGTTGTTGGCAGTTGAGTGATTTTGTAGGAGTGCTTTTATAGAAAAGCAGATTAAATATGCACCTGTATTTATTTTCTGCCACAAAGAATAAAGACTTGTTTTTGTGTGAGCTTTCTAAAAATGTTCATGTACCAGTCACTTGTCTTCTAAAGTGTGTCCCCTTAAAGTGCTCTGCAGGGCAGGAGGTGAAGTGATTGTTTTATCCTCATGGGTTCCTTTGGAATGTGAACGGGACTCACGCTGCTTGGCAGTATAGAGAGTGATGTATGTGTGGTGGTTGTTATAGTGAAACACCTGCAGAAGAGGAGGAAAGGTGGCTTTTCCCTAATACTGATCCTCGTGGTCGTTTATCAACCCATCTTCTGCTGAGCAGCCTTGTAAAACCAAAAATACAACCTCTCACCTTCCTGGTGCTACCAAAGGGGTTTAGATGAGTTATAATTTGGCCATTCTGGTCCACTTCCAGTGGACTGCTTTGCTTTGGGGGATGTAGGGAGCAAAATCTATGGCTGGCTGTCCCAGAACAGGGAATTGAGGGGCAAAGGTTCCAACTGAGATGCATGGGTGAGCACGCAGATAACGGCTGCAATGCAGAGCTTATCTTGTTGAGGTTTGTTTTCCCAGCCATCCTTACGGAGGTGCGTGTGGGATGCCTGGCTAGCTGCCCAGCTGAACTTCCAGTCTTGGAGACCTGACCTTCCTGACCTGCCACAGAGACAGCTCTTGGAACTGAAGAGCATGTAGGGGTTGCTTGGTCTAATCTCTCCATCAGGGTCCAGCAAGGGAGTATAGAATTTTTGGCATGTTCAAAACCAGAAGTGAAAATTTACCTTTGTTATCACCATTTTACTTGAGACAAACTTCCAAGGGCTTTGGAGGTTCATTTGCTGTCAAGGATAAAACCAGGTTTTTCCTTCCCTTTTCAGTGGTGGTGCAGCACTGGGCACGGTGGAGGCCTTTGATGGGAAGACCTCCGTGCTGCTCAAAGAGCTCCAGGACTTGATCTTGGTGCACTGAGCCTGAGAGCTGGTGGTTTTATTTCACAATCACTGTTCAGATAACCCTGTTCTTCCTTCTCTGAGCTTAAGTTTTGTCAGATTATTCCATTTGATTTTTGCACTCCCGTCCAGAGAGGTACAAAATGACCAAACACAAGGATGCACTTGCTTGTACTTTAATGACAGTGGGTTATTAAACACTTCAGTGATGTTAATAGCTACACCAAGCTGACTTACTAACACTTGTACCTACTTTGAATGTGTTAATGCAGTTTAATTCTAGCTGAGCAGTGAGGGAGAACTTCAGTTCCTCTCTTGGAGCACAGACCTGCTCCTGGGTGCATCAGCGGCTGCTTCAGAGAGAGGAGAAACCCACTGACCTCTTGGTTATGGGCACTATTACTTGCAGTGTGTTTACTTTATTAGCAAGACCTTGTGATGTGTGGTTGGAACTTGTGCTGGCACTGGAAAAGGAGCCAGAATGTAGTGCAGCAAGTGGTGTGATTCTGAAATATCCCAAAACATTAAACCTAAAGGCTGTTTCCTGCTGCTTGTTTCCTGCTGGCCTTTGGCATAGCTTAATCTCTTCTGTGAGTGTTTGTGCTGGTTGGCTCTTGCTGGTGTGCTGAAGCTCCGCCTTGGACGTAAGCATAACTCCTGTGTTTGATGGTCACTCTAGGTAGAAACTCCCCAGATTTGCCTAGTTTCATGCAGTGCAGTTACTGTATTAATGAGGAGTCAAGGATTTGGTGTCATAAGGCTGATTTGCTGGTCCTTTGACATTCCATAGTATTAAGCAGTTGAAAGAGTGCCTTCATTCAGTTTTCATCCCCCTTTCATTACAGTGTGTAACTGCAGAGCTCCTTCATCTCTACTTGCTTTTCCCAGAAGCAAAAATCTCACATTGCCAGAAACACCAGCTATTCCTCAAGGTGTTCCCTTGGGGATCCTTCAAATGTACTGAACGCTTTAAAAACCTGCTTTATTCAGCAATTCCTACAGTGATTTTTCCATGGAAATTCTTTCCAGACTTCTCCAAGAGCAATGTCAGCTTTGGTTTCTGTTTCCCTGAAGACAGAAGCAGTTTCTTGTCCAACAATACCCAGATTTAAGCTTGGAAGCTGCTGTGCTGAGACCCTGCATCAATTGAGGGGCAGCTTTGCACCGGAGCCTGCAGCTTCTTCAAGCTCTGCAGCAGCAGCAGGAAAACCCAAGGAAATGGGGTTGGAGTGGGTGCTCCTTTGTGAGACTGAAACCCAGAGGTGCTGTCCCTTCGATGCCAGCAGGAAGGGCAGTGGGAGAAACGGGAAGGGGAGGGGAGCAGCAGACAGCCAGGCTGCCCACCCTGTGCCTTTGGAAGCGCAGCTCCTGCTGCAGTTCATGTCATGATAAACCCTCAAGCTCTAAGGAGCTACAGATTCAGTGCCTGTGGTAAGGCTGGGGATGGAGGAGGAGGAGGAGGAATGATGAAGGGCTGCTTCAGCCCCTCGCAGCAGTTCAGTATTGCTGACCTTGTTGCCATAACAGCTTATTTCTCCTTAAACGTTGCAGTGGGAATATGGGCAGGAATGTTTTCTCCGCTTCCTTTCTGCTTGCTTTACTTGAACAGGTTCTCTTTCAGGTCTGGCTTTTCTGCATGGGGTTGGAAAGCCTCTTACTATTGTCAGGTTGGACGGGGCTTGGAGCAACCTGCTCTGGTGGAAGGTGTCCTTGCCTGCGGCAGGGGTTGGAACTGGATGAGCTTTAAGGTCCCTTCCAACCCAAACCATTCCATGATTTTCTTGTACTTTGCACTTGCTTCATATTTTGTGTGTTGTCCAAACCCTCCACCTCTCTTATCCCCTATAGAAAGACTCCTACAACCCGAGACCAAGGTGGAATTAACCTCACCACAAACCTCTCCCCTGGCCTCCAGCCTGCTGGCTGTAAGCAGATCTGCTGCTTGTCTATTAGAGGGTGTTGAGACAAATACCCTGCTTCACAGAAAAAGCCCTTGGCTACCTGAGCTTTCAGATGAGGGATCTCCAGAGCCATTTATTCTGCCTTGCAGAAAATCCATAGCCAAAACTGGTCCCCATTAGCCAACCTGTCTGCTCGGGATGACGGAAGAATGGGCACATCCCCTGTGCTTCCCCCTCTCGGGGTGCCTCCTTTGCTGTTCATGGCTCCAGGTACTTGGGATGCAGCCACTGTTTCGTGTAATTAAGCTGGAGTTGCAGAGTTCCCATTAATTATCCCCAGTCTCCTGTCTCTTGGCTTCTTGTCTGGGAGTCTCGGTCCTCGATTCCTTGGTGTTTTGTCTGGGTTTGTAGGGAAAGGCTGCTCCGTGCTCATGTTTTCTCCTCCCAGTCTTCACGCAGGGTGAACAGGAACATCAGTGGCTGTTTCCTTGCTGGCAGAGACATGGCCCGGTGGCCAGTAAGTAAAGACTGTTCCTTGTGGGACACCCTGGGACACCCAGCACCACCAAATTCCCTCTTTGGTGCCCCTGCTTTCTCCACCATGCTTTCCCCTACCTTGTACCACCACCTCCTGCCAGGATTCATGTCCTTGGAGCTGCATTTCCCTTCTTATTCCACAAAGGATATTGGTTCTTCTCATCAGCTGCTCTGAACTTGGGAAGAGTCAATGGAGCCAAACTGGATGCTTCTGGTGCCTCCAACAAGCCGTGGGTGTCCTTCATTTCCCCCTCTTTTGGTATGATCTTGACAGACTGGTTGGAGGTAACCAGTGACAGACGCTTGGTGTGTCTGGCACTGGCTCCTTGCACAAGGCCACCTTCAGGCAGGGTGTGCAATGCAAACAGTGGCAAATGCAGCAACACATGGCTCCTCATCTTCCTAAAGCCAAGAAAGTCCATCCAAAACCCACCTGGAATGCCCAGATGGGTTGAATTGGGAAAGCACTGGTTGTTGGGGGTCACGGCTACCTGGAGCAGTCCTTGGGGGTTCTCTTGCAAATATGTGTATGTCCCTCCCAACACACGGAATCTTTGTGTATGTCCCTCACTAGAACTTGCAACAACCTGGCCTTGAACACTGCCAGGGATGGGGCCCCCTGGGCACCCTGTGCCAGCACCTCAGCACCCTCACAGGGAAGAGCTTCTGCCTAAGAGCTCATCTCAGTCTCCCCTCTGGCAGGTTAAAGCCATTCCCCTTGGCCTGTCCCTACAGGCCCTTGTCCAAAGCACCTCTCCAGGTCTCTTGTCAGCCCCTTTAGGCACTGGGAGCTGCTCTAAGGTCTGGCTTTCTGGGATGTGAGTGCACGCTGCTGGGTCACGATGGGGTTGCTGTATTTTTGTCCACACTTTGCTTCTGGAAGTGATGAGAAATCTGAGCTCTGCTGCTCCTTTTCAGACACCTTTTTTTTGCCACCTCCTATCCCTTGGGCATTGCACTCCTAGGTCCAGATGGAATGATGCTTATGCCAAGCTGCAGGGAGCCCGAGCACCCAGAGCACCTCCTTTGCTCCTCCATAGATCAGTACCTCCCTCTTTGCCAGCAGCGAGGGCTCGGGGCTCTTCTTTGGGCTGGCTGGGACTGGTGCTGCCGGGGAAATTGCCGTCACCAGCTTCGGGTGGAAGGTAAGAGCCGTGTTGTGTCAGCCAGGAAACGAGTTCCTCGAGCCCTGTCGCTGCAGGTGGCTTCACACAAGGTCTTGCAAGGTTGGGAGGAGCAGTGCAAGGGGTAATTAACACAACCCTGCTAACTCAGCTTCTCCAGCCTGGGTCTAATACATGTACAGGGAGGCTGGAGCCAACTCAGGTCCACGTGCTCAGAGAAAAGGGCTAGTCCAGCCTCTGCAGACCCCACTTCCTGACCCAGATCCCTGCTTCCCTGCACCTTGTATCCAAAGTCCTTGGGTTCTGCAGTAAAAAACACAGCATTTGGCTTGCTTGGTGCTCAGGGAGTTAGTGGGAAATGGCTGGGGATGTCAGGGGGGTTTCCACCATCATCTCATGCACTCCTGCCTGCTGTCTGAAGTCATTTGGGGATGTAAATGTGCACTGGAGGTGAGCCAGGAGCATGCTAGGAGTGGTGGACTGGGGTCTAGCACTGCAGTCAATGCTGAGCTGCACCAGGATCAGTGTCACCTTCTGCCTGTGCCCTGTTCTCCCTTCCCA